TCTGTCTCCACGGGGCTGCTTTCCAGCAGCGTGACCCCCAATCTGTCCTGGTCCCTGGTGTTATTCCTCCCCAGAGGCAAGACTCTACACTTGGCCTTATTGAACTGCATGAGGTTCCTCTGTGCCCAGCTCTGCAGCCTGTCCAGATCTCGTTGGACGGCAGCACAGCCTGCCTGGGTATCAGCCCCCTCCCAGTTTTGTGTCATCAGCGAACTTGCTGAGGATTTACTCTGTCCCCTCCTCCAGGTCATTGATGGAGATATTGAACAAAACTGGACCCAGTACTGATCCCTGGGGAACACCACTGGCCACAGGCCTCCAGCTGGACTCTGTGCTGCTGATCGCAACCCTCTGAACTCAGTTGTTGAGCCAGTTCGCAATCCGCCTCACGGTCCAGTCATCTATCCCACATTTCTTGAGTTTACCTACGAGGATGTTATGGGCGACAGTATCAAAAGCCTTACTGAAGTCAAGGTATATGACTTCCACCCTTCCTATGATCCATCCTTTCATCAAATCATTTTGTCACCCCTTCGTAGAAGGAGATCAGATTAGTCAGGCAAGATTTCCACTTGGTAAATCCATGCTGGCTACTCCTGATAATCTTTTCTTCTAGTTGATTAGAGATGGCCCTCAGAATGTGCACATGTATTTAAAATGCCTGCACATATAGAGGTATCATGTGTTACACATGGGGCTCATATACACAGAGAGACATCTATTCTCCCTACCCATACGGACAGGTCTATATATAAAGATTTGGTGTCTATAAAATAGGGGAGGGGGGTGTGTGTAAGAGAGAGGAGGGACTGTGTCCGCATACACACCTGTTTCACATAATATGAGTACAAACAGAGGTAGATGGTATTCTTCATAGAGATATATCCTGCCATATATCTCCCCATAATATACTTGGAGATCTACAAAAAGGTGTACCTATCTGTGTGTATGTAATTTAGAAGTTGAATAAATACAAAATGGGGGTATCTGTGTGAGACTGGGTGCAAATACCCATGTATTTTACGTGTGTGCATGTGCACATATGTATAGGTATACACTTTTATTTATAGCTGAATATCCCCGTATATACATATGGAGATATAAAAAGGTGTGTGTATCTATATGGGTGTGTATAATTTAAAAGCTGTATAAATAAAGGGGGTGTCTGCTGATGAAAAGGAATGATGTATTATAGACAATATATCCTTACATATACATTCCCCATGTACACACATACATCTACACAAAAACCAGCAGGGCTGTTTGTTTGTTTATATCATTTTAACAGCAGATAATTACATGGTTGAAAGGGGGGCAAGTATGTAGCATATGTATCAAAAGTGTGTGTATGTATGTTCATACATATGTATGTACATAATGTGCTTGTGTAAATGACTGTACAGACCTGCACACGCACACATATATATAGGTACATGGTATTACTTATGGCTGTGTATCCTTGTTTACATTCCCATTATACATAAAAGCAATATATAACTGAAGAGGAGGCATTAACACAACGAATTAACATATGCATAGCCTTCCCTCTATAGCCATTTTCTATACATACACACGTATATACAGACAAAGGGGCTCGTGTATGAGGGTATTTGTGTCAGTTTATTCCATTTGAGGACAGGTAATTTTATGTATTTACGTGGGGAACTATGTACTACAGCGTGTGTATATATTTCTCAAATGTCTTTGTGCATATATTTACTTTAGATTTAATGTATTATATAGAGGTCCATATTTATATATGCACATAGACACTTCCCTGTATCTATATGGATACGGCTATGTATGAAGCTTACATGTATATGAGTTGTACGTAAGAGTTTATGCTGCTCAGCCTAGGGAAGAAAAGGCTCCAGGGAGACCCTACTGAGGTTTTCCAGTACTTAAAGGGAACCTGTAAGAAAGATGAGGGGAAGCTTTTAAGCAAGGCTGGCTGCGAAGGACAATGGGTAATGGGTTTAAACTCAAAGAGGGTAGATTTATATTGGATAAGAGGAAGAATTTTTTTACAATGTGGGTGGTGAAACACTGGCACAGGTTGCCCAGAGAGGTGGTGGAGGCCCTATCCCTGGAGACATTCAAGGTCAGGTTGGACCTAGGAAACCGGATCTAAAGATGTCCCTGCTCACTGCAGGGGGGTTGGACCAGATGACATTTAATGGTCCCTTCCAACTCAAACCATTCTATGATTCTACAACTCTATTAAAATATGAGTAAGTGTGAAAGACTCTGTGTGTCTGTATGTATCTATTGTGAACACAGATAGATGTATGGTACTATTGATATATTATAGTCCTCTCTATACACTCTCACTATATAAGTGGACATACACAAGATGTGTACCTAGACACATGTATTTTAAAATCTGTATAAAGGGTTCAGGAGTTTGCAGGGCTGTGTTAACGTACAAGTCTGTGTTCACGTGCGCAGGTACTGCAGCGCTGCAGTCACTAACTTGGCCAGGCTCTCCCACCCATGGGCCTTTCACGTGCCTCTCTGTGCTTTGTTCCCTGCAGACAGTGGCATCCCCAAGACAGCCACAGCGGGTGGCCCAGGCTGTGGTGCAGGAGCTGCTGTCGTCCCTGTCGGAAGAGGCCTGCCTGGCGCAGAAGGGGCTGGATCCCGTCAACCTGAAGCTGCCCAGCCCCGCAGGCTCGGCAGGGGCCAGCCCCG